CTGCCCTGAAACACTCTGTTCAGGCCACCTTGAAAAGAAAGGTGTAGTTGGCACCTTGCTTGCAGCTACCAGGTATAGTACTTCAAGTTCCCTTTCCGTCAACCGCTCGATAGCCTCTACACACGCACAGCAATCCACAGCTTTGAAGTCTCATTCGTGCTTTGAACTTGTGTAGGTGTGTAAGAGGTCTCACGGCCGCCTCCACCTGGCAAATGCCAAGCGGAGCTGCCGTAGAGAAATGAAAGAAAATGGAGTGTGGGATGGTGGATCTAGGGTGCAGACCTACCTTTCTATCCTATGCTTCGAAGCGCAGTTCTCGAGAAAGGGAAGCGCTGGCTTTCGTTTTGCAGCTTCTCAGGTAGACTCATCATCTCAACAATTGGAGTCCGAAGGGTTGAAGAGACTCCCCAGCTACAATCTCTCCTGCAATGTTAGGACCATCAGGACCGTCGAAGAAGCCTTTTCACACAATCCTCCCTTCAAACTCCACGAATTTCATCGCCTTTGAAAGGCAAGTACATGGTGACTGGTGACTCAGTCATTGGTCAACAGTTCTAGACGGGACTAAAAGGTGCGTCCGTTCGGACAGCCGAGCATCGAAGAGGACAGCCGAGCGAGACGTCCACCAGCGCGCAGGCTGCAGGGGCCGCAGGGGATGGAAAGCTTCAAGTCCAGGTTTTCCTTGCGACTTGCTGACTACAACATAAAGAGTTTGCACGGGTGACATCTTAACAGAGTATGGTTGTTGTGTTCTCGAAAAGATCGTTATTCGTACAAAGCATGGTCTATATGATGTGTATGAATTTGTCTCATTTCACGAGGCTCTCCAGTGTGTGAGAGTAGGAAGATAGACTTGGGAGGGACCAAGGGACATGGACTCGTGGTATGTTACAATGTCCACCCCAAAGATGGACTTAAAACATTTGGGGTCCAAACAAAACACCCAAGTTCTATCAAGTTCTTGTTGTTTTTGAGGTAGGCTTGTGCCATGCCATGCTTGGTTTTGCTTGGGGGTGATGTCCATTTTCCAATATGTTCCCTGTGCGCGAATCACCTGCTGCGGAGTATGTTTTCTCCGGCCGGCTTCGACAGCAAATCCAAGATGCTGCAGCTGGCTGTAACCCATGGGACCCCGACACTTCTGGCACCAGGACTTGAAGCATGAGCTTCAATTGCTACACCAGGCACGACGACCGGCGGTGGAAAGACATCAACGGTAACCACGTGGGGGGCATGTGTGGGGTGACTTGTGTCGTCCAGCGTGTCATGTAGTTCCTGGTCCGAAAGGAAAAGGTCCTTGTCCTTCAGAAACCAAGGGATGTTTGGCCAATGTGAGCCTGTACAAGCGCATTTGGGTGAAGGCGGGTCAGAAAAATACAGGACTAGCCAAAGCTGCCCAAGCGTAAATGCGTTCAACTGAACTGGGCTTCTTGAAACTGATCATGGAGAACCATATAGTGAAAAGGTCTTCAAACCTGATGTGTTGGGGGGTGCACGTTAGTAGGCAGACACGGACCGACATGGAAACAGAACTTGGTTTGGTTCTGAAGGTGAACACCGAACACAGGCCACGTGGTTTCATGCGTTGGAACACCGGCCGATGTACCAGGCCGTTGTGAGTGGTCGTACGTTTGGCAGTCCTGCAAGGCTCCATGCTTCAACGTCCTTTCCTATTGGGGGCCCATCCAAAGGCGCCATGTTTGGTGCCAAAGACACCATCAGGTCGTGACTGATTTGATTTTTCTAAATCCGCTGTGGAAGGTCTTGTGGGTTAACCTTGGGTGGTTCGGTTTCTCCAGCACCACCTGAGAGAGCGTTTTTGGGATCACCTGTGCCAGGCAGGCATGCTGGCGGTCTAAGCAGATCTGAGCAGGTGGAAAACAGTCCGGATGCGCACGGAGCAGGTGCTGGTGGCGCCGGACAAATTTGGATTTGTTTGGTGTAGTTGCAAGCCTCATGCATGCGAAGCCAAGACCAAGAGCCACACGGCTCAGTACTCGCGAAAGGTGTATTTGGGGCTTCAAGTGTACAGCAAGAATTTGCAAAGCACAGATCAGCTAACAGAGGGTATCGAGCAAAGCTGCTTGTATCCAACAAGTACTGAGATGGTACAAACACCTCCCAATTGAATCCACTGGTAAGGTTTCAAGCAATGTAGAGTCAGTGATGTGCTCATGACCATGCGTGAAGCAATAGCCTTGTTCCGCTAAGCATGTAACTAGTACTTTCTGACACCACCCTTAAATACACCCTCTTCTGACCAGGAATTGATATAAGAATGGCACCTGCGACCGGACCTTCACACCTCCAGGACGGACCCCAAGGCCGCGGGACCCCAAGGCCACGGGACCGGTCGCCGAGGCCTTGCACCGCTGGAGGCCGCGCTGGCCCTGGCGGAGGCGGAAGGCGCGCCGCTGCACGGCCACGACGAGGACCGCCATGGCTCGCCGTCCGGGACTTTTTCGGTGAGGACGGGTGGTGATCAACTGGTGTTTCTAAAAAAGATCACCACGTTTTGGTTGGCGGTATTGAGATGTTGATAGATGTTGGCATGATTTCGCCCATGGTGCTGTGGTGACCCCCCAAACGCAGCGGTAGGTCAGACCCTTGAGAGGTGGCTTAGTCAGTTCACGGCTGGTTCTGTGGCTCGGTGAAAGTTATGTACAAGATGATAAGATGTCAGAAGAGTCGACTCTTCAAGACTTGGAAAGGCTCAATCCAACAGGTTTGGGCTCGATTTCATCAAACAAGGAAGGCAATCCGGAAGGCTATAGTACATCTATCCGGAAACAGACCAAAAAGGCTCACTCACTGTGGAGAGAATGTCCACCACATTGCGCTCCTCCACCGCAAAACACGATGTATTTAAACAAATGTAAGAAAATAACACGCACAATTGCACCATTCTTGGCAAAGGGAACTGAAAAAGATGTTTTAAAGTGAGACTTCTGCAGACAATCTACGAGCGGAGCTTCTTCTGCCGGTGCCGTCAAAGCCTGCGTCGGCGCCGTCGCCACGACGGGCAGAGAGATTCGACGGTCGCCGCAGCAGGAGCCGTGGCATTTGCCGCGCTCGTTGCATCGCTTGGCGCCTTTGGCCTGGCGACATCAGAGGCGCTTGGAGCGCTTCAGGTGCGGGCGGTGGCATGAACGAGGAAGACATAGGGAACGTGACAGGGACATCTAGGAGCCTACCATGCCATAATTATTAATTGTTTGCTGAAATGCCACTTCGGATGTTATATTGTGAACTTCCAAGTAGTCTTGTGATTGAAATCCAACCCACTACCCTCCACCTGTTGGAGCAATTCTCCATGATTTGTCCAACCTTCACACACCGAATTACGCTGTTTGGGCACTACAGTCGACCATATCATCGTCCACCATGCCGACCTCACATCGGTCAGGTCCCGCGTGGAAGAGCTCCTCGCATCGCCCTCCGTCGAGCTCTTGGAGATCCCCCAGGAGGCCGAAGCCTACGAGGCCCGCGACGAAGCCGGTCTGATGGTCACCAGGGTGACGGAGCAGATCAATCTCATCCCAAAATCATATCCAATGAGAGAGCTTTGTGGAAAGTGTGGACTTACTTCTGTGGTTGACTGGACTTGTGTTCAATCTCATTGTGCGTGATTGTACTTGTTGATGTTTGATTCGTTACTTACAGGCAAGGTTCTGTTTGCTTTCATGTGAGAGCCACTTCGTTTGGCACTTGGTAGCCTTTCTGTTCAGTCATTTGGAGAAGGTCACAGCTCATGCAGGTTTTGACGTGAGGACTCCTGGTTTCCTGGGCAACACTTTGTTCTGGACCATGGACGATGCAAAATCAATTGGAACATGTTCCGGAGATGACCTTCAGACAGAAACCCTCTCTGTCAAGCGCGAAAAAAGCCAGCTTCACTCAGACACACTAAAAAATCTGATCCCCAAATTGTCACGGCTTCCCAAACCGAAAAAGCACGAGAACCTCTCCCCTGCTCGGCCAGGTCCCGCTCGAGCGGAGGAAGAACCGGATCAGTTGACTTCCGCTTCCGTCCCAGGTGGCTGGTGGCCGGCAGGGCTTCAACGACCGGATCATAGACCAAGCACGGAAGCTGTGCTTCGATCGGGGGCTGACGGTGCTGAAGGATGAGAAGGATCGATCGACTCACCGTGGGTGGGTGGGTCGGACTAAATTCAGATGGCAGGGCAGATCCGAAGTGGAGGAGATCCGAATTCGACAAAGACAGGTCGTTTTGTGTTCGTATGTTTTTGTATGGCGGGATGATGGAGACACATAGGTTTGAGTCAGCGTAAGCCAACTCTGGCTGATATCATTTCTTCGAGGTTTGAATCTGGGTGAATCCCGCACATAGGGGAAGAGATGTTTTATTGTCCCGTTTTCCTGGGAGCCGCAAATCAGTGTTGGTGTATACAGGATCTCACGGATTTGATTTGTCTTAATATACTTTCTCATACTTTTTCGGTGGGGATCTTTGGATGGTTGATTCTTGAGATGTAGATGAACTACAGACTTACCTGGCGTTAGGAGGGAGTTATATAAGGAGGGGGGGGTATCCATATTCCTTCATATTCCCCTTTGAACAAGAATATCCAATCCACTTGCTAGTTACTGGAATATGTTTCCATGATTTCCATGCGAGTTGACAACTGGGTGTTAACATGTGTTAACCATTTGGGGCCTACGGATGCCTACGGGGAACCTTCCGCAGTCTGAGGATGTTTTCGTGCCTTGCGGGTGTCACCTCAAAGTATATAGAAATGATATGATTGACTGTTTGAACATGACATGCCTCAGTGCGCTTGGGTAGGTATTCTCATGTTATTCTCCAAAGATGGTGGTGGGGGTGCGGATGATGACGAAAGACAAAGATGAAGGAAATCTCTGCTAAGTCAGAGTCTTGTTTGCCCATTTGGGGGGTCACACTTGGTTCAGATCTTGGCAACTACGATGTGTAAACACCAGTTTGCTAGAACGGACACCGACACTCCAAAGGCCCGTGTGCACCCTGCACCCTTTTGCAACCAAAGCTCTTCAGGGTGGATCCTGTTTTGTAAAGTGGTACAGATCAAGACTCCAGATGGCCCATCTTTTAAGCATTAAATCTTGGTGTGCATTTTGAAGTCACGCGGCCTCGCAGGAGAGATACCTCATGCTGCGCTTGGGGCCAGCAGAGAAAGCCCAACCGTTAGGCAATCGCATGCGATCGCCGGTCTGGGGGATGGTCGCCCATTGTGGGTATGACAGCTCATGACTGTTATGCGCTTTTGTAGTCCGGGTTTGCTGTTTTGAAGGCACAACTTAGAGGCTTCGTGTTTCCCACAAAAAGTTGCAGAGAAACGATTTGACGATCTGACACCTAAGGAGAAGTCCGAGCTTCAGGTAGTTTGGTGAAGAAGTCTTGGAGTGCGTGGTCTCCAGTTCGTCTCACCACATCTCTAGAAAGATTGCATTTCGTCCACCGCTCAGATAGGTTTGGGTAGATACCAGCTTGTGGTGCTTCGGTCATTTTGGAACCTAACTCCAGATCACTCCACACAAATATATGTACTGTAAACATCTGTAAACCAGTCTAGTATAGTCTAGTACTGGTCTATATTACACTCCAGTAAACTACACCCTACCCAGCCCCAAACAGCCGCGCATGGCCAGACCCTCCGGCGACCGTTTTGGTGTCAGCCCGGCGGAATGACACCTTGCCGGAGGTGGCGCGGGGGCATGTGGTCGTTCGTTCAGTTGATCCCTTGCGGTCACCAGTTTGGGGTGCCAAAGAGGGGCAAAGACCTGGGAAGATGAATGAAGATGTTTTAAAAAGAACCTGAATGAAAGATCTGTCATGATCTGTCAAGAGGAAGCTCGTGTTTCTGGTCGGTTTGTGAGAACGTTTTAATTATATAAGACGTAGGCCGTAGGCTTTTTGAGAAAATGATCAGAACACTTCTGAAAGAACCAACTTTTGGTTCTCAAAGTGTCGAATCCTTTTTGGGGTTCCCCCAGAAACGCCCTTCGCAGCCGAGGCTCTGATGCTTTCACCAGAATCGATACGAATCACTGTGAATGGACGCCTGCTCGCCCTTCGCACGTCCATCCCATCCCATCCAACGCAAAGGGGAAATCCTGCAGGAGCAAGTGACCACCAACGCGAAGGGCATGTGTTTCCTTCCGGATGGTGCAGAGTTGACCTCCTGTCCGGGCGCCTGTGAGAAGACGTTCGGACTATACTGTACATGTTCTCCTCCCAGCTTGGGAGATGAGTCCAATATCATTATTCTTTTAAAGAGAATCTCAAGAGATCCTTGACTCGAAATACACTTCATTGGAACTCGGCAGCTCGTGAAAACCTGACTTCCTCGCAAACTTGGATGAGGAGGGGTTTCGAACTCGATCGAACTCGAACTCGGCGACTCGACCCCCTAGGCCTGAAGATCACTCTGCCCGATGAGCCGGGGCTTTTGCCCGTCATGGTGAGTCTCAAAGCCTTGCGCCAAGGCGGGACCGGTCCTGTGAAGATCGGTGTTCATGGTCTGCAGAAATCAGGTCAAGGAAGCTAAGGTCCGGTTCACCAGCCTTTTCTTGGAAGGTCTAGGCGCCCAGAATTGAAAGGGATTAAAGAAACATCTGCATGAATCCATCCGAGTTCCTCAATCCCATGCCAGCCTGATCCAGAGGTCATGACCAAAAAGCATGGAAAGTGAGGTTAAGGCCTAAAGCCAAAGGCAACAGACCAGGAGATGGCTGGGGTCCGGCTTGGTAAAATATGGTTTACTTTCAGGTGCCAAGGGGATGACCCTACCAGACCTCGAGTCTCTCGGTTTTCCCGCGCTTGCAGCGGCGATCCCGCCCGCTTTGGATTTGGAAGCTCGGGTGGTGAACCAATTATGCACTTTCCAAGGGTAAGCTGTTTGGTACGTTTGGTACCCAGCATGGTGTGAAGGATGCTGTAGCGGGAGAAAGTCGCTTGACCCAGCAGATTGAGATCACTGATGGTGCATGGTGCTTCTGATCATGGAATCCTGGGCCACGTCGATCTACTTAGGTTGGCATCAGGAACCTTTGCTGCC